GTTCAATCCTTGGAGAGTTTCTTGAAGATAACAATGGCAGGAGATTCAACAATAAGAATTGAGAAGTTTACCGGGAAAAATAGTTTCGGGCTATGGCAAATTAAGATGAAGGCTCTGTTAAAACAACAGCAGATATGGCGTCCGTTGGCTCCAAAGAGTACTACTTCGGAGTCAGGAGACGGACCGACTGACTCGCAGTTAGAAGTTATGGAAGAGAAGGCACACTCTACCATATTACTTAGTCTTGATGATCAAATCATCACGGAGGTTGCTGATCAGGAAACGACGGCTGGATTGTGGCTGAAGCTGGAGTCATTGTATATGACTAAGTCGTTGACCAACAAATTATTACTGAAACAGCGGTTGTTTAGCCTCCGGATGCAGTCAGGTACTTCCTTACGGGAACATCTAGAAAAACTTAACTCTATTTTGCTTGATTTACGTAATTTAGATGTTAAAATTGATGATGAGGATGCTGCGTTGATTTTACTTGTATCTCTACCGTCTAGCTTTGAGAATTTTGTAGAGTCTTTTGTTGTTTGTAAGGATTCTATAACCTTAGAAGAAGTGAAGGCAGCACTTCATACTAGGGAACTCAGAATGAAAGCTACGAGTGATAATGGGGATAATGGTAGTGGGTTGTTTGTTAAGTCCGGAAAGTCTAAAAAGAATAAGGGGTTTAACAAGGGGAACAATGCTGGGTCGGGTGCTGGAAACGGCAAGGATGGATCTAGTAAAACTACTACTAAAACATGTTATTACTGTAAAGAACCGGGTCACTTTAGGAATAATTGTCCGGTGAGGAAAAACAAGTCCCAGGCTGCTGTAGTTGAAGAGAAACCGAATGAGAGCTATAATTCAGAGGAAGATTTAGCATTAGTCAGTTCTGCTAGGTCTGATGATTTATCTGATAACTGGGTTCTAGATTCGGGGTGTTCGTTCCATATGTGTCCACGTCGAGATTGGTTTGATACATATGAACCTCGCAATGGGGGTATGGTTATAGTCGGTAACAATGCTCCATGTAAGGTCACAGGTATTGGTTCCATGAGGTTGAGGACTGTTGATGGGCGGAGGTTAACTTTGACTAATGTACGGCATGTTCCTGCTTTAGGAAAGAATCTGATTTCATTGGGTACCCTGGATGAATTGGGGTACAATGGTGTGTTTTCAGATGGGGAGTTGTGTATTTTCAGAGGTTCTGAGTTGGTACTTAAGGGTATCAAAAGGAACACCCTCTATGTTTTTGAGGGTGTTACACTGCCTAGTTCTGCGGTTTGCGCATCTGTATCTCACCAGGAGATGACTAAGATTTGGCACATGAGGCTTGGTCATATGGGGGAGAAGGGGATGCAGCTATTGTCCAAGAGGGGTCTTCTATCCGGGGTCAAGGTTGCCAACCTTGAATTTTGTGAGCATTGTGTGTTTGGTAAGAAACACAGGTCAAAGTTCAGCAAGAGTGCTCACATTACTGATGCAGTGCTCGATTACATCCATTCAGATTGCTGGGGTCCATCTAGAGTTGAAGGTATGGGAGGTTACCACTATTTTGTGTCATTTGTTGATGACAAGTCCCGATACACATGGCTTAGGTTGCTTAAGTCAAAGGATGAGGCCTTCAAAGTTTTCAAGCAATGGAAAGCTTTGGTGGAAAATCGACAAGGAAGGAAGATCAAGAAGCTACGAACGGACAATGGGCTAGAGTTTTGCAAAGACGAGTTTAATCAGTTCTGTGCAGATGAGGGTATAGATCGGCATCATACTGTCAGGAAGACACCACAGCAGAACGGTGTAGCAGAACGAGTTAATCAGACACTGCTAGAGAGAGTTCGATGCATGCTCTCTAATGCAGGGCTTGGGAGGAGGTACTGGAGTGAAGCTGTGTTAACAGCTTGTTATGTCATTAATAGGGGTCCTCATTCTGGAATTGATTCCAAAATTCCGTTTGAGATCTGGAGTGGTAAGTTGCCTAATTTTTCGAATTTGAAGATTTTTGGTTGTGTTGCTTATTATCATGTTATTGAGGGTAAGCTGGATCCACGAGCCAAGAAGGGGTGTTTTGTTGGGTACGGGGATGGTGTGAAGGGGTTTAGAATTTTTTTCACCTTCGGAGGGTCGGGTCATTCTTAGTAGGGATGTTACTTTCGATGAAAACACCATGTATTCAATTAAAAATGCAGAGATTTCAGATTTGAGAAGGGAAGTAGACAATTTATTACAGACAGATGGGGTACTTGAGGTACATCAGTCTACCATTGCTGATTTACCTCGGGTACAATATATTGATGATGATGCTGATGTTCCAGTGCCGGGTACTCCTGAACCTGAGATTACTCCTACTCATTCTAACTCTGGGGATGAGGTGGAGCAATCTAATCAGGGGTCATCTAGTCAACCTGACACCATTCTTGAGATGCCTAAACGAGTTATCAAGAAGCCTGTTAGATTGATTGAAGAGATGGAGGGAAGAAATTGCTGTGTTGATGCGATGACAGGTTATGCATTGAGTGTAGCTGATGATGTAGAGTCATTTGAACCTGCCACATATAAACAAGCAATTAGTTGTAGTGAGTCTGCGCAATGGCTTGCCGCAATGGGTGAAGAGATGCAGTCTCTTTACAAGAACAGAGTGTGGGAACTGGTAAAGGTACCGGAAGGGAGGAAGCTTGTGGGTTGTAAATGGATTTACAAGAAGAAAGAAGGGTTGTCGGAAACTGAGCAAATACGTTTTAAGGCTAGGCTAGTTGCTAAGGGGTTCAGTCAGGTAGAAGGGGTTGACTTTGTTGAGATATTCTCACCTGTGGTTCGACATACTTCTATCCGTGTGTTATTGTCAATTGTAGCACATTTTGATCTTGAGCTGGAGCAGTTGGATGTTAAAACGGCCTTCCTTCATGGCGATTTGGAGGAGGAGATTCTGATGAAGCAGCCCGAAGGATTCGAAGCTCCTGGAAAGGAACACTATGCCTGCAGATTGCTAAAGTCATTGTATGGACTTAAGCAATCCCCCCGACAGTGGTACAAAAGGTTTGATTCTTTTATGGTTTCACAAGGTTTTGACAGGAATTCATATGATTGCTGTGTGTATCATAGTAAGCTGGATAATGGTTCCATGATTTATCTTTTGTTATATGTTGATGACATGTTGGTTGCCACAAAGAATAAATCTGATATTGCTAGATTAAAGGAGATGCTTAACTCGGAGTTTGACATGAAAGACTTGGGTGCAGCTAGGAAGATTTTGGGTATGGAGATCTACAGGGATCGGGCTAGAGGTAAGCTTTTCTTGACTCAGAAAAGCTACATTGAAAAGATTTTGTCTCGTTTTGGGATGGAAAAATCGAAGCCTATAAGTACGCCAACTACTGTTAGTTGTAAGTTGTCTTTGTCTATGTCACCTCAATCAGAGGAGGAGTTGTCTTATATGTCTAGAGTTCCATATGCAAATGCGGTTGGTTGTTTGATGTATGCTATGGTCTGTACTAGGCCGGATATTGCGCATGCTGTTAGTGTTGTAAGCAGGTTTATGGCTCGACCTGGGAGGGAACACTGGCAAGGGGTGAAAAGGATTTTTCGCTACCTGAGAGGGACAGCTGATATTGGTCTTGTGTACGGGAATGGTAAGGAATGCTTGGTCACTGGGTACAGTGATTCTGATTATGCAGCTGATGTGGATACCAGGAGGTCTGTGACTGGTTATGTGTTCACTTTGGGTGGTTCTGTGGTTAGTTGGAAGTCTACATTGCAGTCATCAGTTACGTTGTCAACTACTGAAGCTGAGTATATGGCTTTAACTTCTGCAGCTAAGGAGTCTATTTGGCTCAAAGGCCTAGTAGGTGAACTGGGTATTGCACAGGATTTTGCTACAGTGTATTGTGATAGTCTAAGTGCGATTTGCTTAGCTAAAGATCAAGTACACCATGATCGGACGAAGCACATTGATGTCAGGTATCATTTCTTACGTACTGACAAGAGGATTAAGGTGAAGAAGATTGGGACTGCTGACAACCCGGCTGATTTCTTCACTAAGCCTGTTCCGTTTAGCAAGTTTAAACATTGCTTAGACTTGTTAAATATTGATTACTACGTGATGTAGTAGGCCCTGAGGGGCGAAGTTGGGGAGCTCCTGGTGTAGGTGTGTTGGCCTTAAGGTGGAGCTTGCCCGGGGCTTGTGATGCAGGTGGAGCATTATGAGTTGTTATACTTGGAGACGAGTATGTGATGGGTCTTGGTTGAAGACTTATCGGGATGTATGGCTTATGCATGAGTCCTGCATCGGGTTTGGCTTGAGATGTTTTTTCACTATGTCTTGATGGGGTCGTTTGCTGACTACGAGTTCTCGTCAAGGTGGAGATTGTTGATAAGTATATTAGGTGACTCGTACTTCGTAGCTTTGTCCGCCCGATCGGGCGGACATTGCCCGGTCTGACCGGGCGGAAGAAGAAGAGGTGCCTGGCAAATTCGTTGAAGAAGCTGCTCTCGCGCCCGACCGGGCGAGCCTTCGCCCGACCGGGCGAGCCTTCGCCCGATCGGGCAGACCTTGCCCGGTCTGACCGGGCGGTGGGGGTTGGATACGTTGAAGCATTCGTATGGAGTCTTCTTCTCGCGCCCGATCGGGCAGACCTTGCCCGGTCTGACCGGGCGGAGAAGGAAAAATACGGAACGCGGATTTTGCGGTTTTAGGTTATCTTATTTTATTATCTTTTTGCCCAAGTATCTTTTAATTAGGGATTAATATAAAACCTCCCTAATATCAGTATTAGGGTTAAGAGAGACAGAGTGAGAGCCGTTCTTGAGAAATACAAGAATCATCTTTGTAATCTTTGCAGTTTATAGTGAAATCATTCGATCTCGGTGCCCGTGGACGTAGCTATCACATCGATAGTGAACCACGTAAATTCTTGGTGTTGTTCTTATTGTTTGCATTGAATTTCTTTATTGTTTTCTTGTTTGTTTTCGACCTTTGCTTCCGCTGTCGCACAACATTAATAAAGGCAGAAATTGTCGGCCTAACAATTTTAACATTTCGAAGTAGTGATATCCATTTAAAAAAGAAAGAGGCTCGAGTCAACTTTTCTAAGTATTATTTTAATTACAAACTACTGTACAACATTTTATTTTGCATACAAGTATGAAATTAAGGGTATCAACTCACGCGGCTGGTATAAAAACTTGCGATGTTTTATTGATAAGTTTGTTTTGAAAAAATTAATAATCAAATCTTTGAGAGTTAATTAAAATACGTTACCGTATTTTAACGCTTATTATTATAGTATGAAAAACATATTCGGTATAATTAAGGTTACCCCGATAAATGTGTAAGTGGGGTTAGAAAGGGAAAGGTTATAGATAGGAACAACACTTTGATACAGCGGAAAAGAAAATAGGAACAACACAGATAGACAAAGGGAGAATTTAAAAATTTTGAAAAGGAAAAATATTGTTATAATTAACAAGAGAAGAAGACTTTATTTTTTAACTAAATCTCTATTCTCTTTAGAATAATGCTATAAACATCCCTAAGGGTTCGTTGTATATAATATATATCAAACGAGCATTTTAGCCTAACGGGCTATAAAATTGGACAAAAAATATGTGTTTCTTTGTCGTTATTTTTAATGCTTTCTTCTTGAAAAAAATGATGAGTTTTAAATGAAAAAGAAAGACTACTCCAGAGGTGTTGTATATTATGTCCTCCACTACATTGAGACGTTTCTAACATATACGCACATGAATATACATATTTCTCTTACTTATAAATTATTAACATTGCTCAAAATGGTTTATGTTAAACTCCTCAAAAAAAAAAAAAAAAAAAAAGAAAGGTTTCGGTTAATAGTGCAAAATGTCAAAATAAGGCATTTATTCATAAACAGTGGGAATAAATAAAAAGTGTATATATTAACTAACGGAGAAAATATTAGTAATAGCCCTGGGGTTTAGGAAAGAATGGTGTTGAGCTTAATAGTTATTTAAAATTTTAATAATGTACTCACCTTAAATCTGAAGATATAATTAAAAAAAATTGACCAATTGATCTAGAGTCATAATAATTAATCATTTAAAGAGATCCTAATTTATCTATATAAACTACTCCATAATTTGCAATTGACAACACAAAACAACGAACATACAAACACATCAGTCAAGTTCATTACCTCGTTGTCTAAAGTTCAAGCTTTGCAATTAGACATGAAGGAATGGAAAGGCAGTAAGTTTAATATATTTATTTTTGTTTTCTCTAATTTGGTTCTTGCTTGTAGGGCTGTATATTTTCTTATCAAATTGCAACGAATCTAAAAATATGTATGACATTGTTATATTTTTTCTAATATATGAAATACAAATTAATGATTTTGACTTCGAAAATAATCTTTAGAGAACGTAGGGATAGAGTGTAGCAATTATGCGATGTAACATCAAAGTAACATGCAATGCAGGAAACTACAGTTTCGAATTCACTGATCCAAGTAAACCAGTTAGGACATTCAGAACACGAAGGCCTTGCCACTTCATCTTTGAAATCGACAACTATAAACAGCTTGTAGAATCAATGGAAATAGCCAACCTGAAATATTTCGAGACACCCGATTTTACAGTTGGCGATGAGAAATGGTATAATAGTGTTTATCTTCTCATTTATTACCATGATTATTGAAATTCAATATTAACATATATTTTTGCAACAGTTAGCTAGCTCGCTACGCTATATGTCCAATAAAGATCGACCTTACTAATATTTTTTCCTTAAACTTTTATTGTTTGTAATGCAGGAGTATGTGCATCTATCCTAACGGAAATAAGGAAAGGCAAGGGAGTGATTATGTGTCTCTATACTTGAAGAGGCTTAAGAGTGCCGGTCGAAGCAAAGAAGCTAATGCTTCGATGAAATTTTTCATATTGGAGCAAAATTCAGATGAGTATCTTGTCATTGAAGGTATGCTTTAGTTGATAATTCACTTATTCCCTCGATTTTATATTAAAAGTATTTAATTAGTATCTATTTAAATTGATTAAACACAGATTTGGGAGAAAAGCATTTTGATGTCCGAGGAAGAAAGTGGGGAATCGCACAGGCTATCGCGCTGGATGATTTTACAGATAAAGACAATGGATTTCTAGTTGATAACACTTGTACCTTTGGAGCCGAGGTTTTTATTACAAGTGCTGAGCCTAGTTACTCGAAGATGTCGCTAGTCAATTCCATTTCCAAAAATGTATTTGAAATTGGTATTAAATTTGATATCGAAAGTGATTATTATGATTCTACTACCTTCACCGCTACATTAGATGGAAATACTTACACCTGGTGCGTAGCTATTTTTTTAAAATAGTTGATGAATCCTCGTTTTTATAAATTTTTGTACCATGATTATGTTTATACATTAAATACTCGTTTTTTTTTCCACTAATCTTTGTAGGAAACTGCGGTTATACCTAACTGGACATTCTGAGGGAACTGACTCTCATGTATCGCTGTATCTGATTCTTGTGGATATCAACAAGCTTTCCAATGGAAGGAGCATGTTGGTTAATTTTCAATTAAGTTTAAAAAATAAAAGTACTGGATCGTACTCTTATTCCATGCCAGGTATCATGAGAGCCTTTCTTTTTTCCCTTTTTAATTGTGAATAAAAAGTGATCTTTTATTAAAAATAAAATCAAATGGTGGTTGTATATTTCACAATATGTAAAATTTACACAATTTATAAGCTACAACATTTTTTCTTTATTTAATTGTTGTTTTTCTCTTGTAGCTGCCCTTGACTGGTACCATACCAAAAAGGATTCATCGGGCTATTCTAAGTTTATTGAAAGAGAAGCCTTTTTTAATTCGACAACCAAATATGATTATTTACAAACTGCAAATGTGAAAGTCCAATTCAAAAGTGTCTTTATTCTCAATGACGTTGATGAATAAGATGTTCACAACCACCATCGATGCATACTCTTCATTTGTATTGAATGTTTTTTGGTTGTAATCATCGAGTATGTATGAAACGAACCAAGGTCTCTTACACAAGGCATATTGTGTTATCCCTAAACGCTTTCTGTAGAGTTACATGGTTTTACCTTACTCTTAAAGTAAGGGTTTTACATGTAATTTCCTTCATTTCAATTAAATTATATTAAATTATTGTATTTGTTACCACGTGATTATGAAATAATTATGATGTTGGGATATTTACTTCACTATTAAATGATATGATAACCTTTTTCATAGTTGTGATTTTGTTTTTTTGGTATTACTTAAGGTATTTTTTATATATTCTTCTCCGGTTGTAACATTCATTGGCTATAAATACTAGCTTAATTCCCGTGCAATGCACGGTTTTACCAAAATTTGTAAAGATATACAACAATTCTATACAAATTATTCTCTTATAAAAAGTATCATAAAGATCCATATTTTCTAAAATTTTCTATTCAATAAATTTTAGCTTGCACCCGTATGATATACAATATGAATATGACCACTCAAATGCAAAGTAAATCAAATTTTCAAGAATGGAGCGAGGGAGATTATTCAGAAACATTTTTTAACAATAACTTGTTCTTTAGCTTGTTATACACACTGGCGTGCATAAGTTATCATTTATACTTAAACTAATAAATTACTTAAATCACTTTATTATTTTACTTTGCTTTTGACATTTTAAAAATCTGGCTTAAAAATTATATAATCAAATGATCTAATTGTATGATAATTAATCAATAATTCGTATTAAAAAAAAAAAAAAAAAAAAACTAAACTAAATATCAAGCTCTTTTTATAATTCTATTTTTCTTACGTCAAATATAAATTTTTTCTTTACCAAAACTATTTCTCTTAGAGGGCGCTTAATACCTTGAAATTAATGGCCCAATGATATGGAAGCAATGTTATACTATGTAATTACCATAATAATCTTTATTACATGAATCTCTATATTTTTCATAACAAATTCAAATTTTCCCTTCTTTGCAACCTCACTCTTATCCTGTTCAATCATCATCTTTATTATAGTAAAAATTTACATAGAATATTGAGAGATAAATCTCTACTTTTTTTTTTTCTTGGAACTTAGCTAGTGATAAGATAAAAGTTTGTATGGAAATTTGTATTTATATTAGAGATTGGGGGAGATAATTGGTCAATGATTTAAATAATGAATGTGATGAAATGGAATTGAAAGTTGGAGGGAGAAGAGAAGGTTAAGAAAATTCAATTTATTGAACTAAAAATAATGGGGGGAGTCGGAAATGTTATTCTATTTGAATTTAAGAAGAGAATGATTATATATATATAAATAAAAGGTAAAAGAAAAGGACACATGACACCTTATGTTTGTGTTTTAAATACGTAAAACTAAGGGGGTGTTTGGTATGAACAATGAAAATGGAGTGGAAAGCAAACAAATAAGAAATGAAGGAGGAAATGAATCATTTAACACTTGTCTTTTATTTTGTTTGGTTTAATCATCGAAAGGAATCACTTTAACCTATCTCACTTTATTTTTGTAAGAAGAGAGTAAGGATAATTGTTATCTTAGGTTTTAAAGAGATACCAAATGGATAACCCAAACCTTCCAACCAAACGCTTGGTAACAGTAATGATTTAAGTTAATCCGTTTCCAACCCAGAAAAAACTTTTACCAAACATGCTTAAAGTGAAGATTACCAATCTCGCCGAAGTTTAAAGCGCTCATGAATTATACATCACATGCTTAACAAAAGTGAACAATGTCTAACTTACCTCAAAGCACCTAGGATTGGCACGAGACACTGGCCGACCTAATGGTAGAAGAAACAAACGTGTGAGCTTAAAAATAATATGTGCTATAACTTGGGAATACGCATGAAAAATTAACTAAATTAATAATGAAATTCTATTGTAAGTTGCGATTTTTTTATTTGTAATCTTTGTAAGATTGGAGCTAGATAATAGGGCTACTTTTGATGGTTTATATATATATATATATATAATAAAATAAATAAAAACATGAAAGCATTTTTTGGTGTAATTTTTTGTTTTTTATTTTATGATTTTTTGAAAACAAAAAATCAAATACAGTAATGGAGAAAAAAGTGTTTCCACTTTATTGTTGTCAGTTTTCAATAATAGCATGATTTTAAAATGTTTAACCAATTTTTTTATTCATTGTATGACATAAAATATGATCTTGAAAACAAAAAACCAAAAAAGAAAAGCACAGTGATATCAAACCGGAGCCGAAAACAAAAATTGTGATTTATGTCATGTACTGTTCTGCCTATGTCCTGTATTTATTTTTACCCCCTTTGATTTTTCATGGTTTCCAAGACGGGTTTTAAAACGTATATATCTTCATTTTTATACGTACCAAATTTATAAAAACTTGATATTAATAAAATATACAATGAATCAATCCAAAAAAATTCCACATGATCATATTATCTCCTATAGATTCAGGGGAATATATAGTCAAAATTTTTAAAGTTTGATCCAAATATTAGCTATGGGACAAAAAAATAAGAGACGAATGGAGTATATAATTGGCTAGCGGTCTCTCAACTTAATGATGATTTACGAACTATTGTCCAATTTGATTCTAATGGTTGTGCTATACAGGACCAAACAAAGGAGCTGATTGGAACGGGAATTAGGAAAGATGGACTATACTATTTTAGCAAACCACCTTTTGTGTCACGCTACATCAAATTTGGAATTATGGCATAAGCGCCTTGGACATCATTCTAAAAGAGTGGTTAAATTACTTCCTCATCTTAGTAGTAATAAAGATCATCTAAATAATAGTTGCGACATATGTATGTATGCTAAGCATCCGAGAACTAAATTTCCTTTAAGTGACAATAACGCTTCTAGAATTTTTGAGAAAATCCACTGTGACTTATGGGGTCTATATCGTCATACTTCGTCTTGTGGGGCTCGTTATTTTTTTACTATTGTTGATGATTTTTCTAGAGCCGTATGGATTCATTTGTTGGTGGATAAACTGGAAGTCTTTCGCATGTTTATGACTTTTGTTGCCATGGTTGATAGACAATTTTCTCAAACAATTAAGGTAGTCCAAATTGATAATGGAACCGAATTTAATTGTTTGCTTGAGTATTTTAATGTCACAGGGATCTTGTTTCAAACCTCTTGTGTGGGTACCCCTCAACAAAATGGTTGTGTAGAACGAAAACATAAACATATTTTAAACGTTAGGAGGGCCTTGCGTTTCCAAGCTAAGTTGCCTATTTATTTTTGGGGGGAGTGCGTTCTCACTGCTGCCCATTTGATTAACCGTACCCCATCTCCATTGTTAAATAATAAAACACCTTTTGAAATATTGTTTAACAAAGTTCCTTCATTTGATACTCTTAGACTTTTGGGTGTTTATGTTTTGCACACAATCAAAACACTAAAGAAGATAAATTTGCTAGTCGCAGTCGAAATTGTGTATTTGTGGGTTATCCTTATGATAAAAAGGGTTGGAGATTGTTCGACTTAAATACAAAGGATTTTTTTGTTTCTCGGGATGTGAAATTTGTAGAGGAGGTCATTCTGTTTAGAAGTCCCTAAGTAGCTAATATTCATCATCATTCATACACTGATCATCTAGTGCATGAAGACTTTGCTCAAATTGTCCACAAAGAGGCCCCTGCAATTTATGACGATGCGGATCAGGCCCAGCTCCAAGAAGGGACGGCCATTGGGCCTGCTCAGCCTTTCCTCCATCCTCCCTTAAGCGCCTCTCCAGCTGGGCCTGTTCAAGAACCTCAGCCCAGCTCACCTACTCACAGCATGCCTGGGGCGGATTCGCAAGCTGGGCCTGCTAGTCAGCCCAGTATTCCTATGGGTGAGGGGGGGCTCCCTCTACAGCCCGTTTCTCCTTCTTTTACCAGTGGGCCTTATAATCCCCAATTGGGTCGTGGCTTAAGACCAAAGGTTCCTAATGTCAAGCTGCGTGATTATGTGACACATACAGTTTTTGCTAAAAGTCCACTCTCTTCCTCCTCCAATCACTCCTCAAGTACTCCTTATCCTTTAGCACGTTATATTAATTGCGACAATTTTTCTGTGAATTATCAAAAGTTTCTTGCAGCAATTATTAAGGGTAAAGGCCCTCAATCCTTTAAGGAGGCAATGCGCCATGATGGGTGGCGCAAATCTATGAAAGAAGAAATCCACGCTCTAGAGGACAATGGTACATGGACCCTAGAGCATCTTCCTCCTGGAAAACGTGCTCTTGGTAGTCAGTGGGTTTATAAGACCAAATATTTGGCAAATGGAGAAATTGAGCGACCCAAATCTAGACTTGTGGTTTTTGGCAATCATCAACAGGCTGGTATTGATTATGACGAAACCTTTGCCCCGGTAGCCAAAATGACTACAGTTCGAGCTTTTCTTGCAATAGCAGCTTCCAAAAATTGGGAAATACATCAAATGGATGTCCATAATGCTTTTTTACATGGTGACCTTACTGAAGAGGTCTACATGAAGTTGCCGCCTAGGTTTGAATGTTCATATCCTTCCTTGGTGTGTAGGCTGTGCAAGTCTCTATATGGTCTAAAACAAGCTCCTCGTTGTTGGTTTGCAAAGCTAGTTTCGGCCCTGAAAATGTATGGTTTCTTGCAATCTTACTCTGATTATTCTTTATTTACATACACTAACGGCAACTCTCAAATTAATGTCTTGGTTTATGTGGATGATCTTATTATCTCTGGGAATGATTCCGCTGCTCTTAACATTTTCAAAGTCTATCTTAGTGATTGTTTTAAAATGAAAGACCTCGGGGCTCTTAAATATTTTTTAGGGATAGAAGTAGCCCGGAGCTCCTTAGGGTTATTTTTATGTCAAAGAAAGTACACTTTGGATATAATATCTGAAACAAGACTCCTAGGCGCAAAGCCTAGCGGCTTCCCAATCGAGCAAAATCACAAACTAGCTCTTGCTACCGGCGAGTTGTTGACTGATCCAGAGCCTTATCGGCGGTTAGTGGGGCGGCTCATTTATCTTGCCGTAACGAGACCCGACTTGGCTTATTCAGTCCACATCCTTTCTCAGTTCATGCAAGCTCCTCGAATGGATCATTGGGAAGCGGCTTTGAGAGTGGTTCGTTATTTGAAGGGTACTTTGGGTCAAGGCATATTATTGCATTCCGATAGTGACCTAACATTGGAAGGATGGTGTGACTCGGATTGGGCGGCTTGCCCTCTCACTCGTCGTTCTCTAATAGGTTGGTTAGTTTTTTGGGGAAAATCCCTAATTTCTTGGAAAACTAAGAAACAGGATACAGTTTCAAAATCCTCTACAGAAGCAAAATACAAGTCCATGTGAGGAGTCACTTGTGAGTTAAAGTGGCTAAAGGCTTTATTATTAAGTATGGGCATTCAACATCCTAAGGCAATACAGTTGTTTTGTGACAGTCAATCAGCTTTGCATATAGCAAAGCATATGGTCTTTCATGAACGCACCAAGCACATTGAGGTCGATTGTCATTTTGTTCGTGATGCTATTACGGAAGGCCTAATTTCTCCACAACATGTGTCTACTACTTCTCAATTGGCAGATATCTTCACAAAGCCACTTGGAAAAACACAGTTTGATAATCTTCTTTCCAAGTTGGGCATTTACGATTGTCATGCTCCAACTTGAGGGGGGTATTAAGATATATTTAGGATATACTTAGATAATATCTTTAGGATTTATATCTTAGCTTTTCCTACTCTATCTTGATTTACCTAGAGTTTGAAATAGATTAGAAAACATGATTAAGTGTATTATAAATAGTTTGATTGTGATTAATGAAAGGTAAGCCAAAGTTTATTCATAATTCCCAATTCTACACATACTTTAAATTTGGATTAGAGACGGTATGAATATTTTAAGCATGAATCCCGACTTATGACCAATATAATGTTACATATTGGAGAGTACATCGATCATGTTGGTGCGAGCCGTACACATTGCTTCGAGTGGTTGTATGAATGACATGATATTTAGAAGCATTATTTCTAAAACTCTCTTTCAATGTGAGAAAAAAATAAATAAATAAAAAAAAAACATGAAATTAAATTTTTTGAACATATTGTTTAGACAATTTTGAAAACATAAAGTAAATCTAACTAAACTTTTATGTACTCCATATTAAATTTTTTTGGTTAGTTTAAATATGATGCAATTAAAACAAATTCATTCAAA